ATCTTGATCATCGGAGGAGCTCCGGACCTCACTGTTGCTGAGGATGGCTGTGGTTACCTTTTGGGGGAGCTCTGGTTCTTCTGAGCATTGCTTCCCGGCTCCAGTGCAGATCCTGCTAGCATAGATCCTTCATCCCACTGGCAAAGACTTTGTAGATTCCACCACTGACCTTCAGGCCTTCTCAGCAGATCCGTGAAATAGGCCTGCGTAGGATGTTGTTGTGGGCTCTGGGCCTCCAGTTGGATTTGTGGGAGCCATTTTTATGAGCTCTACAGGTCTTCAGCTGGACTCATGCAGGACATTTCCATGGGATCCAGGCCCTCAGCTAGATTCCTTGGTCTTAGCGTGTGGACAGATTTCTTGCACTCTTTTATATATTGTTCTTTGGGTGACTATTATAGTCTTATAAACTATGTATCCTATATTGTATTATATTGTTCTCCCTTGAAAAATAAGCCCAAAACCAACACACGTAGCAAGTGTTGGTGAGGACATGGCGAAAAAGACAGATCACACGCTGTTGGTGCAAATGTATGGGTTTGGCCTTTATGGGAAATACAAAGTATATAAGCGTTCGTCAAAAAACTTAAACTGGGACTACCTGGAACTCCACTCCTGGGAACCCTTATCCAAGGCACGTGAGAGCAGTGCCTTGAAGAGATGTGTGACTCTCCTCCTGTTCACTGCTGCTTTTTTTGGAGATGGGATCTTGCTATACAGCCATGTCTGGTCTTTACTGCTGCATTAGTCATAGTTGCCGAGAGACAGAAACACCTTAAGTGTCTACGGATGAGTGAATGAGTGAGGAAACTGATATGTACAGACAGTGGGATGATATAAAAAGAGGGAAATCCTGCCAGTGCAGTGGCACACACCTGTAATCCCAGCACTAGGGAGGCTGAGACCAACCTGGGCTACATGGTGAGTGTAAGCCTAGTCAGAACTACATAGTGGGACTATCTTTAAAAAAAAGGCTAGGAAGATAGCTCAGAATAAAGTACCCATCTAGCATGCATGAGGCCCTGGTTTCAATTTATAGCAGTGCCAAAAAAAAAAAAAAATTAAAGTTAAAATTAAAAAGCTCTTGGACGAAGTCAGCAATAAAACAAAAATATGACATCTCAGGACACATAGCTAATTTGTCCCCTCTCTGTTGCCTTGGACCTTTAGAGACTGTGTAATTTTGGCTTAAACTTTTTAAAAGAGCTACATCACAGCTGGGAGGTTGAGGCAGGAAGATTTCTGTGAGTTTGAGTTCAGTCTGGGCTACATAGTGAGTTCAAGCCTAGCCTAAATTATATAATAAAACCCTGTATCAAGAAAAAAAACATAGCTAAGTTTCCCAGGCTGGATTGGAACTTGTGATCCTCCTGCCTCAGCCTCCCAGAGTACTGGAATTACAAGTGTGCACCACCATACCCAGCTTCCTCTGTTTTTTTTTTTTAAATGGGCCATTCAGGCATTTGTCCTTGAAACTGAGGTGACCCATACCAGAACCAAGCATAGTAATGCACATTTATAGTCTTGGCTACTGAGGAGACTGAGGCAGGAAGATCATTTTTATCCAGAAATTTGAGGTCGGTTTGAGCAATGCAGTGTCTTAAAAAGTAGGGTAGGATGGAGCTGGAGGTATGGCTCAGTGCTAGAGTGTTTCCCTAGTATATATGAAGACATGGGTTTGGTCCTCAGCACCAAAAAAATCAAATAAATAAAATGACCCACACCCTAATTCCCCATATACAATGCTAGCTGTCCTCCTAACTCTTCATTCGGCTGGCAAGTGAGCTACAACAGAGGACCGCCTGCCCTACTCACGATGCCCTGCTTGTCCAGGATCTGTAAATGATAAACCTTTGAACCTGTTTCTGCTCATTGTGGCTTCTGAATTTGAGCCTCCCCTGGCTGGGTTTCCCCAGAACTCCGGCCAGGCAGGCGTGAACTGGACATGGGTCAGGCAAGCGCCACAGGCCATCTGCCAGTGTAAACAATCTGTGAGGGAGCCCTGGTCACGGGTCTGACAACTGGGCCCTGGACAGTTGGCCAGGTGAGGTATTCCAGGAAAGGCGCACACTACACCTGGTCCTTCATTTCCCCTTAGGGCCAGGTTGGTGCCACCCTGGTGTGGAACCCCATTTACCCGGGGGCCCTCACAACACCCCATTTCCCCACGCACCCGGTGCCCTAATGTGTCTGCGGTCACTTGGCACACAACACCCTTTCCATGCTTCTCTCAGGCTCTTTGACTACCAGGCCACAGCACATCATATGAACCTTTGTCACCGCCTTTAATCACACTCTGCTGTCATTGTCTTGGAGGTTCTGCCTGGCAGAGACACCACCTTTGCAACCTTGGCTGAAGGGAGGTTATGAAATGAACAAAAAGAATAAAAAAAAAAAAAAAAGAAAGAAAGTGCCCGGCATAGTGGTGCACACCTGTAATCCCAGCACTCCAGAGGCTGAGGCAGGATTACTGAGTTTGGGGCCAGCTTGGGCTACAAAGCGAGTTGAAAGCCAGCCTGAACAACAGTGAGACTGTCTCAAAAAAAAAAAAAAAGAAAAAAAAAAGAAAAAAGAAAAGAATGAATACCTGGGCCTAGTTCTGACTCGGTTCTGTTTCCCTGGCCTGCCTCTCACCCCCACCCCAGTGTACACAATCTGAGATGAGAATGACAGGAGCTGCAGGATATCGGATAGTGCCTGAGAGCTGTCTGTCCTCAGGCCTCACTTGCCCCCAGGGTGGCCCATGAGGAGCGTCCAGCCTCAGGAGCCCCAGCTGCTGGCATTCTGGGAGGAGGACTCTACGTGTCATTGGCAGCAGCACCACTACCAGCACCCCAGTTTTCAAATCTGAATGAAGCTGGCTGTAGTGGTGCATACCTGCAATCTCAGCACTTGGGAGGCTGAGACAGGAGGACTGCCATGAGTTCAGAGCCACCCTGGGCTCCATAGTGAGTTCAAGACCAACTTGAATGACACAGCAAGACCATATCTCAAAAAAAAAAGGAAAGATTTCATCCTTGTTCTATGAAAATCACATCCTGGGCTTCCTTTGTAGTGAAAAACTTTATTTCCAGAAGCAGAAATGTTTTTAACATGAAGTTGAAGGGATGCAGCCACTGTCTGTAAAGCCCAAGTTCTACCTTCCGAAGTCCCAGCTCTTCCAAGGTCTAGAATCTTCACCAAAGGTCCAGGAACCACATGGCCTGGACTCCCTGCCTCAGACTTCTTCTCAGGACCTGGATGGCTTCTGCTCTGAGCTTAGACTTGGTGCCTCGACTTCTCTCCCTTCTACAGCTTCCGCACACATTTCCATGGGAAAGAGCTCAGCTGCTGGAGAGGCGTTTCCATGGGAAACAGCAGCGGGGCTCTGGTGGCATCCCAGGCGCCCTACAGGCTGCAGAGCCGCTCCACCTCTGCCTCACAGTCATAGAATTTTTCAAAGAGCTCGGGGGAAGAGCTGTTGCACTCAAACCACCTCCGCAAGGTGCCCAGGGCCTGCAGGGCATCAGCTTTGGTGGGCAGGGGCTCAAAGCTGTCCTCCTTGGCTCCCTCTTGGTCTTCAGTGCCTGTCTCCTCTTTGCATATTTCAGGTCCTACCTCCTCACCCTCCAGGTCCACGAATCGGGAAAACTCCTCCCAGCTCAGCCCACTGGGGACTGGTGGCATCTCAGAGGCTATGTCTGGGGATGGAGGCGTTTTGCCAGGAGCTAGTCCTTCCTGAATGAAGCTACTCAAAATGAGCTGAGGGGGCACCTTGGCCCAGGCGGCTGCAGCCATGTGCAGAGCATCCAGCTCTGTGATCCCCGTCCCAGCCTCGGCCAGTGAGGCGCCAGCCCTCTTGGCCTGGACTGCGGCCAGCTTACCCAGCAGACGATGCCGGTAATGGGCCTTAAAGGCCCAGACCACAGAGCTGGGCAGGGATGGTGTGGTACTGGAGGAGGCCAGGGGCAAGAGCCTCACATGGTGGAGCCCAGAAGGGCCCACCAACTCCTCCACCACTCGGGCAGCCAGCAACAAAGCTACTTTTCGGCCTTGCTGCCCCATGTCCTGGTCAAACCGTGCCAGCCACTCTGACCAAGGGATGCCTGGGTCAGGATGGTAGGTGGCAGGCAGTGCTTCACTACTGACCCCAAAAAAGCATCTTGGGGCAGCCTGGAGCCCACCCACCAATATCCGCCGTTTCTCTGTGCCCTTGCTGTTGGCACACAGTAGCACCTGTACTTGATCACATGGCACTCTTTTGCCAGGCACTGCCCGATACAGCAAGGGCACTTCGGCACAGCCAAAAACATCTTCTGGGGTGAAGTCTTTAAGGGAAAGAGGCGGTTGGGCCTGGCACATGAGCGCTGGGGTGGGTGACTCAGAAGGAAATGGAGGGGCGAGGACATGGCGTGCCCCAAAGCCTACATTATTGCGGCGTTTCCAGCGGACCAGCCAGCCTATGCTGGGCACAAAATCCTGGCCCATGATATCAGCCAGTTCCTTGGCTTTGTGGAGCAGCATGGGCCCTGTGATATCCCAGGCTTTGGCGCGGGCAATGTGGTACCAGCAAAGCAGAGCCTCATCGATCCCGCTGTACTTGGACTCCCGCTTGCGCTTGCGCTCCCGGTTGGCTGTGCCGCTGCACCAGTCCGCCAGCAGCTTCTCCTTATTCTTGCAGATGCGGGAGATCTGGGGCTGTGAGACCTGGAAGCGCCGGGCCACCTCCGACTGGGACATTTTGGACTCATCCAGGAGTTCGAGCACCTGGATCTTCTCAGCCAAGGACAGGGCATGAAGCTTCTTCTTGCTGTTCAGCTCCATAGCTCTTCCGGGAGACCTGTGGGGGGAGGAGAAGGAGATGGAGTAGTGGGCCATGCAGGAGGGACGAGGGGGCGGCACACGAGGACAGTGCAGTGGCGGAGTGCAGGAGGCGGTGGGGGGCACTGGATCTGCTGGGAAGAAAGGAAATGGCCAGGCTGAGGAGGAGTGGGCTGCGCCCTATACCGAGGAATCCCAGCGCAGAGCTGGGGGCGGTTCTCTGTCCACAAGGAGGGGGAGTCTGGGCTGGGATCGGCGTCACTGGGGGAGAAGGAAAAATTGGGGACAGCTGCAGAGACAACAAAGGAGTATGGCTAGGAGAAGGCCTGGGGCTGGGACGAGTGGGGCAGGTGTGGGGCATAATCAGGGCTTTGAGCAGGGAGAACCCTGGGAGGGAGACGGGCTGAGGGGCTGGACTGGATTTAAGGGGGGTGTCCGAGTGCGGGTGATGCAGTGCCCGGACAGGGCTGAGGTGAACAGGTGGACACACGACAAAGGGGGAAGGACGGGGTCTGAAGCAGCGAGTCTCCTTTGGTGCGGGTCCAGGGGGTGCGGGGCTAGGACTGGGCCGCGGGAGGGCAGGGCGAGGGCGCAGGTGCACAGGCGACAAAGGGAGCGAGGGCTGAGGAGGCTGGGGCCGGCGAGAGGGGCGGCGTGCCCTTCCGGAGGGTGGCGGCCTTGGGAGGTGCAGCAGGGCTTGCGGACGCGCGCCCGGGACCCAGGCTGGCCGGGAGCCGGGCTCTGCGCCCTTGCCGGCCTTTCCCCACCTCGACCCGGGGCCCGTCGGCGGAGAGGACCCGGGCGACTGCCCGATTGCCCTCCCGGCCCGGCCTCCCACTCCGCACCCACCTCAGGCGCTAGACCCGCGGCTCCCGCCCCCGTCCCCAGCCCAGCCCCCGAGCCGTAGGCGGGCGGCGACCGCGGAGCAGGAGGTGAAGAGCGCCAAGACCGCGAAGGCGGAGCGGGCCGAGAGGCTGCGCGGGCGGCAGGCGGTGGGTGCACGCACGGCAGGGCCCCGCGCCGCCCGCGCCGGGCTCTCTCTGGCTGGGAAGACAGCAGCGAGGCCCCTCAGCGCCCACCCGCCGCAGCCCCGCCCCGTCCCAATCGGATTGGCCTTAAACGGCGCCCAGTCCCGCCCCTGGATAGATCTCATTGGATATCGCGGAAGTGGCGGTACGTCGAGTCCTCTGGGGGCGGGGCTTTCAGCGCGGAGGGGCGGGGCCGGAGGCTGGCGCAAGCAGAAGTACCGCGGCGCCCACAGTCAGCTGGGCGAGCCGGCCTCAGAGCGCGGCTGGTCGCCGGGAAGACGTGAGAGCCGAGAAACAGACTCGGTGTCCCAAGGCCTTCCTGGCCGTAACCCTGGGCGGATACGGCTCCTTCGTCTATCACACAGGTCTAATGGTCCTCAGAGCTGGGAAAATGATGAAAGGAGAAAATGGACGTATATACATAAAAGCGAGTCACCATGGACAGCGCTGGCCTCACCTCTATCCGCTGGCTGTTTAATGCTACCTGCCTGGGGCCAGTTCTCGCTTAGGGCGGAGACTAATTTTTCTTTTTTTTTTTTTTTTGGTTTTTCTCCGGTGCCGGGAACCGAACTCACGACGTTGCGCTTGCCAGGCAGGCGCTTTTGCCGCTGAGCTAAATCCCCAGCCCCTGGAGACTAATTTTTCTTAGTTTGGGTACCTCTTGACAAGATTCAAATTCCTAAACCCAGAAGCTAGTATTCCCCTCCCCGCTAACCTTTGGCCGGGACCTGCGAGCGGCCACCTGGGCTGCAGCACGTTTCGCCGCCCTCACAGGCGAGGTCCCCAGCTCTCCTTCCCTCCCTCAGGAGCTCCCGCATCCTTCTGCTGCCGCTGTCTCCCGCTCCAAGCCCTTCCCTAACTTCCTCCCGATGCCTCTTTCCCTCTTGTCATTTCCCAGTTCTTTCCTGGCCCGCGGACTCAGCCGCCAGCCAGGCTGCGCCTGCTCCCTCTCCTCCCAGCCGCGGAGGGACTCGCTGGTTCCTCCACTCACAGCCCAGGCCGCAGCCTCCCCTGGACAAAAACTTTCAGGATGTTCCAGAAAAACTGAGGACACTTCAGAAGACCCATAAATGTTTAACGCAAATTCTTTTAAAAATTACTTCGAAGATGCACTATATATTATCAAATGTTCATTTTGGCTCAAGTCGTTATGTGGGTATGAACGTCCTGGGAAGGCTGTGGGCCGGCTGCCCAGCGGACAGCTCAGCCTCACAAAGGTGTGCAAGCCGCAAGGTTGAGGTCCCTCTGCACTCATTACTTGTGCAAAAGGTTTCATGTTCCTGTATCCCATGGTGGTATCATTGGCTTGCTGTGTCATTCTTTTGTTTTTTTAATGTTAGGTTTCTGGACCCATCTGAAGTATGCAATTTACAAGGTCAACTGTTCTATCCAAGTCTAGTAGTAGAATTTTCCCCAGACCAAAGAAAGCACAGAAATAAACAGAATGCGGGAAGGCACCAAGATGGCCAGTGCTAAGCAGCAGAGAAATAGCCTGGGTGCTGCTGTCCAGATGCTGGAATACAGCAATGTGAGGAGGACAAGAGGGAGGGAATTGGGTCCCCTGGACCTAGGAAAGATCTGAGGCACGGAAAAAAAAAAAAAAGAAGAAGAAGAAAGATCTGAGACACGAATTGAAGCCCACAGAGAAACTTCAACAATCAAGAAAGAGGCAGCTGGTGATACCTTCTCCCTGAGATGGGAGTCATTGTGTGAGAGGAGAGATTCAAACCTGTGGACACATGGTGATCGCTGGGACCCCAGAGACCTCCATGGAGAGATGCAGCAGTGACGGGAAGCAGTGGATATGATGGACTGAATTTGCTGGGGGTGAGTGCTGAGGGCTCAGTTGTCCCATGTGAAAAAGCGATTGGCTGGGCACCATCTTGGAGAGGGGCTAAACTCAGAACTCAGAGTGGCTGCTGGCTCTAGCTAGCAGCTCCC